AATATGGGATTTTAACCTCTGCATGAATATGAGTCAATCAAATGAAAAAAAATTTCTTTAACTACATCTATCAAAAACACTACAAAAAATCTACAAGAATAATTAGAGAAAGAGAATAGTCGTAGAGTCAAGTAATCACTAATAAATTCACATCAATAATAAATAAAAGAATGTTTAAATGCAACATTTCCAACCATGTGCCCATATTTTTTATCTCATAAAAATCCGATATTATCTGTTTACAAACAAATAAAAAAACTACACGACAAATCAATAAAAATATTTCTTGTGTATTTTCACCCGCTGAATTCAAAAATGACATTGTCTATATTGTTAAATATATAATGAATTTCACTACTAAAAACCTCATATTTTATTTACAAAATGTCACACACAAAATGTCACACACAAAAACAATCTTGGTAAAATCTTTTTTTTTTTTTGAAAAAAAAAAAAAATTATTTTTATTTTTGGTTATGCATCATGTTTTATTTGTTTTTAAAACTTGTATAATGATCTGTGTGTGTTTCAAGGTTTCAAGCCTATTCTTAGTATATACTTTTTCATTTACTATTATAAATTATGACAAATCAACATGTCAAGGAAGTGTGGAAATTTAGTGGAAAGTTTTTACTACATTTGTGGTGAAATAAAATTTTCATCAAAGAAAAAAACCACGATACCATTTGTGAAGGCTTTTTACCAGTACAGCTTTGCTATAAAGATTTGGGGTTTGAGGGCAAGAATAGATTATGGACTCCACATATATGTTAAAACTCATTTTCAGTTACAAAAACGATTGAAAAAAAAAAGATCTTTAAAGCAAAACCCTGATCTTATATGATATTATATGATATAAAACTAAAAAATATAAACCTAAAAACTAAGCAGATGATATTTGTGCTAGACCGATTCATTAAGATAGGTTTGTCAAAGAAAAAAGTAGAAACAGATATTCAATTTTTCCATCTGCCATTCAACCTATTCGACATTTGGATAGTTTAACAATTCTTTGTTTTACAAAGTTATGGTTAGAAATAGAAAATGAAGGCAGAAATGAAGAAGAAATAGAAGAAAAAGAAGAACCCAAGCTGTTAACATCAAATGAACCTGATTCTTTGTTAGCTGATAGTGTACCACTCAGATTGAGTCAAGCAGAATTGACTAATCTTTTTTGAGATCTGGACACAAGAAAAGGCAGAACATCTAGCGTTAAAACTAAGGCATTGAATATGCTTTCTTTTTTTTGAAAAGAAACATAATCTTGTTGTTTGAATTAATGTCACCATTTAAATCTTTAATGGAACAAAACAATATGAGAGCAGGGCCAATCCGATGACGGGACATTTTATTCCGACAACCTAATAATTATTTACCGTCTTGTAGTTAGCAAATATTCTGAATGTCAAAAAGTCTTTAAAAATTAATTAAATACATAACCAAAAATTTAATTAGGTATAAATAATGTAAACATATTATGAGTTAGATAAAACTTTAAGATAACAAAAAGTAAACAAAATTCATGCTATTGTTATTAAATGAATAAACAAAAACTAAAGATTGAAAAAGTTTAACTGAATTAAAATAATATAAAGATTTTAAAATAATCATTTGAGTAAATCAACTTTTAGTCGATTAGTAGGAAACCCATTGTCAATTAAATTGTCTATTTGATTTTTCAAAGTCGGCTTATTTTAATTTTCAACTATTCGACTTTTATTCAATATACCGTAGATTTCCCTAATTCCGAACAAAATCGTACTTAAAGTTGAATAACTCCGCTTGCTTTTTGAATTTCAAATTAACTTTTTAAATTAAATAAACTGGAACCTAAACTGAATCAAATCATTTTAAGCAACAAGTATATTTATTATAAAAATATTGTTAATTTTTAAATTTAAAAAGTAAAAGTTTTCGTTCGGAATTAGGAAGACGTGTTCCTAATTCCGAACGTACATATCGAATCCTGAAAAATAGCATTCAATTTAAAAAAGTAAATAATTTATACTAGCGTAGACCTCTAGCCTTTTTTTTTGTTTGTTTTTGTTTTTTCTTTAAATGTTTTACAATATTAATCGTTTTACAATTATAATAATTTCAATAATATAATAGAATGATTACAAGATTAATTAAGTTTGTAGGAGAAAGAACGCGGGATTTCGTAAGAGATCTTTAAGTCTTGTCGTCAAGAACCGTTTTGTTTTTCAACTATACCGTTACATTTATTGAGTTCAATATATATATTCTGGTCGAAAGTAAAGTAGTAATAAAACGTAAAGTAAGTAAAAATAAAGTAAAGAAAGTAAAGAAAGAAACGTAAAGAAAGTAAAAATAAATAAACGTAAAAGATATATAAAATTCATATATGTAAATACTAAGAATTTAATTTTAAAAATTTTAGTAAATAAAAATTAAAAGTATCATAGTATGTTATCGATGGATATAAAATTATCTATTTAAGTTTTCTTTTGAATGTGTTGTAATTCCACTCTTGAGTAAAATTAAAATATTTCGAAACAATTATGTTCCATAAAAATGCTCTTCGATAACTTATCGAGATACAAGATCTACCAAAATTTGTATGCAAAAAAGGTTCATGGATAAAGTTTTCATTTCGAAGATAATATATATATTTTTTTTATGTGAGTATAAATTATAAAAAGGATAAGGGGAAGTGTTAGTTTTACATTTATACATAAAGCAAAGAATATTGAGAGGACCTTTTCTTTTTTTTTTTAAGTCATTTTTTGGCTCTGGCCCATAAAAACGCCTCCAAAAACAAAAATAGCCCCGGGCCCCAAGAAGTCTCAATCCGCTACTGAAAAGAGGTCTAGCATGAGTAAAACGTTCTTTAAAGTTTATAAGAAGTGCAATATGCTTCTGTTGACAATAAAGAAGCTCTAGTGTACTTTTACTTACACCAACCCTATGCAGTATTAGCATAACTAATATGGCAATGAGTAAATGAGTAATATAATTGAATTAAAGCATATTTATTTAAAAAAGATTTGTAAATAAATTGCTTAGAGTTAGATAAAAAGATTTTTAAGATTTAAAGTTACTTTTATTTTAGTGTAAGTGTGTTTAATGTAAGGGTGTTTAATGTAAGGGTGTTTAGTATAAGGGTGTTTAATGTAAGGGTATAACATTGTGTTGGTACAGAGGGTATAACATTGTGTTGGTACAGAGGGTATAACATTGTGTTGGTACAGAGGGTATAACATTGTGTTGGTACAGAGGGTATAACATTGGGTTGGTACAGAGGGTATAACATTGTGTTGGTACAGAGGGTATAACATTGGGTTGGTACAGAGTGTGCATTATCTATTTATTAGATCCTGTCTTCCATCATTTTTTTGTAATCATTGAAAATAAAAAAACCTTTATAGTCACTGCCTGTTTCTGTCAGTTAACCGCAGTTAACCAGAATAAATCTCAGTTATTAGTATCAGGTTGGTTACAATCTTAGCAAATGCTCCCCCATTAACCAAATAGAAAGGTTTTAGCGATATTTTAGTGCTTTTATCATATAGAAATGCAGTTTAATCCCTTACGCAGTTGTATTTTAAACGGCAGTAAGTCAAAGACTGAAACATTGTTCAGTAACCCCTTAATTTTGCTCACTTAAAATTATTATTTTATAACTTTTTATTATTATAACCACGCCATTATACTTCGCCATTAAATAGTATCGCAGTTAGTTTTTATTAAATAGTATCGCAGCAATATATCTGTCCATATCTGTAAATTATCAAACCTGTACAGTACAGCTACGGTTGCTCCAAATTGCTACGGTTGTCTCCAAATGAATACTAATTCATTTGGAGGTGGCAGTTCAAGCTGTATTATACAGATTTGATAATTTTTAAAAAATACAGAGTTTAATTTTTCTTTCGCAATCTTTTTTTTTTTTTAATTTTGCCTTTTTTTTTTATTAACAAACTTTAAGACAAACACAAAGGTAGTCAAAGTCGGCGACATCAGTTGTATTAAAACAAGATACAACAATTGTTGTATTAATACAATACCCTTAGTAAGGTATAATTTTTTACCTTTTAAGATAGAAAACTATACCTTTAACATAGAAAAGTTTATTACAAACCATTGTTTGTAATAAATGTTCATTGTCCATTTTTGATGAAATGAAAATTAAAAGTGGACATAATTTTAGCTTATCTACTGAGTAAATGGCCTTATAGAAGTCGGTTTAATTAGTTAGTTAGTAAATGTTTCAATTTAAAAATATGCAGAAAGCAAAGAAAACAGCTAAATGGAAGACAGCAAGACCAATGGCATTGGTATCAGCCATTTTGCGTTCATAAAACGTTACATATTTTAACATAATTTGCATCTCATTTTCTGGATTCTTAGTGAAATGATATAATTAAAAAAACAAATTGTGGTGTCTCAATGGTGGTGATGCAAGTCTGCAATTTTCTGTTGCATACATTGACGTTACGCTAAAAACATTTTTGTTTGGTTATATGTATGTAACTTGAACGATATCTTAAAAACTTGATAAAGCTTGTTTTGATTTTTAATTTTTTAACTTGCGAACACTTCTTGATTTTGATCTTAAAATCACAATCAAGAGGTTTGAAGTTTGAATCCATTCTCTAGTAGCGCCCGTACCCACCCTGTTTCTCCGCTTAACGACCTTTTTTAAGCAAGGTTTGTGTTTCGGGTTGAGAGAAAGTTTTAAACAAGACTTTAAATCAATAATAATAATAATAATAGCAATAATAATAATAATAATAATAGCAATAATAGCAATAATAACAACAACATTAATAACGATAATAATAATAATAACGAGTAACCTGCTTGACTGTAGTTGCTCTTTAGTTGGAGCCATGGAAAGAAAATTAAATAAAAAAATTAATTGTAGTGTCTCAAAAAATTATTTTGTAGTATTTTTCTATTAAAAATATTGTCAATTTAGTTATAAATGTGGTGTTATATTAAAGTTTCATATTTCAAATTAACTACTATTTACTTACTTAATTAAACGAAAAAAATTCTTAAGTACATTTTCTTGGAGAACATACGTTTATTTTTAAAATAGTCTTTTTCACTTGATATGTGTTTTAAATCTCGTTAAAACAAACATAAATAATTTACAAAATATATATGGAAAACTTTAATCAAAGATATCATGGTGTGTAAAAATATGCTGTAAAAAATATTGTAAAACAATCTATAAAATTCCTACTATTATCGCATTGCCTTTTATATCGATGATTTCAAAACAATTAGTTTACATGCTATTCTTTCTTTTTTTTATTTATAATCTAGGAATGTTAATACAACCACTTATATTATCATTATAATATAAGTTAATATAAGAAGGTATGTTGTTTTTGTATCTAACAATAAATTGTTTAAATGTTGCATGACATATTCATTACTAATTCTTTGTTGTATTAAGACTTTTTTTTTCTCTTAAATGCGGTAATTAAGGTGTAATAATTTTAACCGTTTATGTTTGGTTTGTTTTTCTAACATACCGTTGCAACGCTATGTTAGAAGAACATACCAAAGCGGTATGTTCTTCTAATACTGCTTTGGTATCTTGGAAGAACAGTGGCTCCGCGCAACAAAATCACTAATTATATTTATTTATAATTATTTATAGATGGATTAACTTTTTGATTGCTTAAATGTTTTCGCATAATATAATCAATCTTAATATTTATAACTTCATAGATGACTTAAGTCGTTGATGAAGTAAAGTTGAAATTTGACCGAGTTTGGGGCAGGGTTTGATAAAAAATAACGGTTTACTAAAAGGTTATTTTATAGTATGATAGGTTGTATGGTTGTAGTATTTATAGAAAGAGAAAAAAATGCAACCTTACAAAAATAAAAGAGTGATTCGAGGTTTGCAGATAAAGCAGGTCAACTACATTTAAATTGAAATTTTGAAACTGGTCCGAACTAACTACTGGTCCGAAAGTAAGATGTTGTTATTCGTCAATATAAAAATGCCATCAATATTGTGATAATAGTTTGCTGTAAATAAATGAGTTTTATTGGAGTTAAAATCCACTGTCAACCCCAAATTGTTACAGAAGAGAGATGAGATTAAAAATTAGCTACTTGTTCTAGACAATCAAAGATTGACGACTTTTATATATATATATATAAAAGTCGTCATTCTTTGATTGTCATATATAAAAGAAATAACTATGTAACTGTTTAGAGACAACGTTCTTCAAGTTTTATTCATCACAAAGTTTATTATTTGTAAACAAAAATTAATAAATTAATAAAAAGTATTAAAAAAAGTTGATTTCCTTCTGGACAAAACAAGTGCAACTCCACAAAATGTTGACCAAGCTGTATTTCGCTATCAATATTTCGTGGCGAATCCTTTGTTTTCGATCACAGCCTTGCATCTTCGAGGCATAGATTCGATCAGGTGATTGATGAAACTTTATGGAATCGCTGCCCAGGCCTTTTGGATTTGTTCAAACAGTTGATCCCTACACACCTTCACAATTAATTCTGCGGTTGACGATCTCCCACAGGTTCTCGATAGGGTTGAGATACGGAGATTGAGGCGGCCAATCCATCACCGATAGGTGGTTGTCTTGAAACCACTGCTTGATTACTTTTGCAGTGTGTTTCGGATCGTTGTCTTGCTGAAAAACCCATTTTATTGGCATATTGGCATGAAACGGTTCATTTTTCCATCGATTCAATGTATTGGACCTTGACCGTTAGAAGAAAAACACCCCCAGACCATTACATTGCCTCCACCATGCGTTTTCCGGCTGGTCGACGTACACGGCAAATGCCATTGCTCCCAATGATGTTGAACTTCGATTCATCACTGAACAGGACAGTTCGCCATTTTTGTACATTCCAGTCAATGTGAGATGTAGCAAACAAGAGTCTTCTCTTCTGGTTTTTTAGTGAAATCAGTGGTTTCTTTGCAGGGCGTCGAGAAAACAATCCAGCTTCAACAGCACGTCGTCTGATTGTTTGGTCCGATACAGGCAGCTCTAATTGCTTTTGTATCTCGACTGATGTTATCCAGAGATCCTTCTTGACGAATCTGACGATCATAGATTCCTCTCTAGAAGTGGTGGAACGCGGTCTTCCACCTTTGTTATCTGCTGCCAACTTCCCCGTAGAACGATATTTGAAACATAGCCTTGACACGGTCCATTTTTTCACTCGATATTTGTCACAAATACTTTTTTGTGACATTCCACTTACGTAATCGCCAATAATTTTCTTTCTTAGTTCCAATCCAAGACTGTCGGGAGCCATTTTTGCACTTGAAGTCATAAAAATAATAAAAATAAATAATTACGCTTCTGAAGGTTTACCTGGTTACATTTACCTTGTGATGATACAATAATGCTCTGTGGAACACAACATTTGGATATTTCCTTTAATTATTAAAAAACTTCCGTGACGTTGACACGGACCAGACTTAAGAAAATGAAACAAACCAAAAAAGTTGCACTTGTTTTGTCCGCTGCAAAATGGCACTTGTCAACGAAATTCTGCCTGTGTGCTGTCACCTGTCAGCTAATTGCTCATGTCATGGCATGCTATGACTCCAGACTACTGAACTGTTTGCTGTGGTAGTATAGTTCGTTTCGTTTTTGAGAAATGTAAAATTAGGAACACTTTTTAGCATTGTTCAATGTTGGTTGCAAATGTTTTGTCCAATACTGTATTTAGCTAACTAACGAGGCAGTGTATATGTGAGCCTCTCATTAGATTTCAAATTTTGTTTTAAAGTTGTTTGGTGAAAAAATTTTTAAATGATTATGCATGAAAATCATGTGTTGAAATCTGTTTATCTCATATACATTCATCATTTTCATTTCCCTCATCAATGGCTTTGCATGTTCAAATTTTTTTGGTATACATTTTTGCTAGCATGTTTTTGTACATTAAATATCTTTTTAAGTTTAGGCCACGCAATGTTACCAAAATCAATGTAGCTATGAATTAGGCTAAAGTATATTAATTTAAGACTGAGCATTTATGAATTGACATTCTTTCCAAATGTTTTGTTTATTTTTGATTCGATGTATTTTATGTGGGATAGCCGAGATAAGTCTTTATCTATAAAAATTTCTAGGTATTTTAAAAATTGCTTTTTTTTAATTTGTTTATTATTTACAAAGAGAGCTGGTAATTTAAGTGGCCGATTTTCTTCTGGTGTTTTTTTATAAAATAATGTATATTAAGTTTTATTTGCGTTTATTGAGTGCTTGTTAGCTCAAAACCATTTATTTACTTTCATTAGTTCCATACTCATACCTCCATAATATCATTCTTGAACATAAACAAATTAGTACCATCAGAATACACAATTGAATTGAACTTTGCAGATACATTAACCAGCAATTACGCTGGTTATTGTAAATAATCTGAAATTGGTCTACTTTATATCTATTGTAGATACGTGTATTTAAGACGTATATTAGAGATCGTATATTTTAGATGTATATCAGATATTTTTTTGCTTATTGGGAGTAAATATATGCATAAATTTACAATATACAAAGTATTTTATTTTTTTGTTTGGCTTCTGCTATCGAGCTGTACAAAGTCTTATATTTTTACCGGGGCCGAGTTTGTAAAAAGTCCCATTTTTAGTGAAAGCTGGGGCCAGGCCCCCATCTTACTTAATGACTTTAGATTTGATGTAATATTTTTCTTCTAAATAATTTAACACTATAGCAGTGAATGCGGTTTCTGTCACTGTAATTTAGTGCACATCGCCTATCAATTTTTTTTTTCAGTGGCTTCAGAATTTTTAACATTTATAAATAGTTCGGAAGAACAGTACAAAATGTTCCAAGTTCTGTCTTCAACAGAAAAGAAACAATTGTGTTAAAGCAATCAACTCTTAAGGGACTTTTGCAATATAAACTAAACAATACACATTTTTTTTAGGTATTTTTTATATTTTATCAATTGCAATGTAAAAATCAGCCATAGGACAGGACATTGTATTCTATAAAACTTTGTTTTTGGTAAATTTCATAAAAATGTTTATATCGTTTATATCTTGTAAAAATTTTTTCATATTTTAAATAAAAATAAAAAACATTTCGTGAAAATGAAACACAGGTTTAGAATAGGGAGGTAAAACAAATTTAATCAAAATATTGACTGTTGCATTTAACACATTTTGACCTCCTTTCTAGTAATTTGTGGATACCACGCCAATAGAAGTGCTTTTCTTTTGAGGCAAATCAATCAGACACCCAATTTTCAACTTCTCCGTAAGAATCAAAGTACTGCTCTGCCAATGGGTGTGCCATTGATTAAAATAAATGCAATCCCACCACACAGAGCATTGTTTTCTTGCCGATTCGATCTGGTATTGCAGTCAACGTTGGTGGTTGTCCTAGATGACCAATAATTTTTTTTTTTAGGATTCTTCAAATTATTCCATTTTTCATCACCAATAGTGATTCGATGCAAAACTGATTTTCTTTTGTGTCTTTGAAGAAAAATTTCACAAACTTTTTTTCAATTTTTCCATCCGTATTTCATTCAATTCATGTGGCACTCATTCTTATGGATTTTCATATCACCCATTCTCATAGCTTTTAAACGGTCAGAAAGTGTTTGTTGCGCAACATTTAACTTTTTTCCCGTTTGATTTTGACACAAAGTATTATTTTCATCCAATATTGCATGCAGTTTTACGTCTCTAAACATTTTTGGTGTCTTCCACGTTTTTCAATTCTCACGTCAAAATTATTCTCTAATACCGTTTAAATCATCTTTTGTATGTTTCTTCTGATAAATTTTGTACCTGTCTTCTGATCACCATATTCCTCAACAAGCAATTAATATCACTCAATTCTTTAAATGAAAACAAAAAAATAATGCTTTCAACAAATCATCACCTTCTGGTAAAAAAAGTTCAACACTTGTAACACGATAACAAACTTAGTTTGTTTGTTCAATGACTTGATGTATACTAAATATATTTGACAGATGTTATACTAACCAAACATAAAAAATTAAGTCTTGTTCACAACAAGTGTTCCCTATTGACAAATTTGTATCTTAACGCTCACTTCATACCGGTAGACCTGGTAGTAGGATTAATAGTTTTACAATTGTTACGACTATATAAAATTTAAAAATATAATAATTACAAACTTTCCGGGCTAAACTACAAAATTAGACACCACATATATTCAACCATAGTTTGTAATTTTTCTTAAAAGCGAGACAATCAACAAAAATTAAAAATTCCCAGACTTGTATAGTTTTTTTGATTTCTTTGCAACAGAGACTTAGGAGTGATATTTGTGACAAGTATCGTTACTAATTATATTTCATAAAAACTGAGATTCAAAAAGATCTACCAAACTCTTCAAAAAGATTTGCTGAATCTAATGTTGTTAAATATCCGGCTTTTAATAAGGGTAATACAGTGCCGAACTTTTAAAAATCAAGATTCGTACTGTGTCCTCTTTCGTAAAAACCAGTAATCTGTCAACCCTAGATGAATCTATTCTTTTAGATTTTATTGAAGAGTCAAAGTACACAAAAGACTTAAACCAAAGACAACGTTATAAAACTTTTTTCGTTGGTTAATTCTAAGATGCATTCGTTAGTATTAAGGAGAATTAAATCTTTCAGAAGTGTTGGTTAACAATTGATGCTGTCAGTGCAGTAGAATTTATTCCAAATATGAGGCATTTACATACATACATACATACATACATACACACACATATATATATATATATATATATATATATATATATATATATATATATATATATATATATATCTATATATATATATATATATATATATATATATATATATATATATATATATATATATATATATATATATATATATATATATATATATATATATATATATATATATATATATATATATATATATATATATATATATATATATATATATATATATATTGCAAAATATATATTGCAAAATTAAAATCAATTTCCTGTGAGGTGTAAAATATACATGAACTTTTGTTGTTTGTTTTTTTAAATTTTTTATTTTGTTGTTTTACACAGTAAGTTAATGACCGAATAACTTAGTAATAACAGATTAACTTAGTAACGGATTTTCAGTTTAAAAAAAACAACGTTAAAATTTGTGATTCAAATATTTTGTCATAAGCAGCCTCATTAGAAAAACACAATAAATTAATAACAATATTAAAGTAAGACAATAAATAGTGAAGTCTAAAATTTCCATTATTTTCAAAAATAATCGCAAATAAACTTTTTTACAGAAGATGTTGCGTAACTGGCGTCCAGCATTACGTTACCTTCTATATTCTGCAATATATTCTATATTCTAATAATTTACAATTATTCTTTATTTTTAGAAAATACCTTTTTCGAACTTTACACTTTTTTACTTTTTGTTCAGTTTGAAGGTTTTTAAACTAATATTATTGTTGTATTTACACATAAAAACTGTCGGTAAATACTGGCTTTATAAATATTTATCATTTCTATATTTCAATTGTTTTTCACAATTTCATTTAGACTTAAAATAAGCCGTGACACAGTCACGTGACACAGTGGTACAGTGGTTAGAGACCTTCCTTCAGAATTGAAAGTTCCAAAGTTTGAGGTCTGCTTTTAGTAAAAAAAAAAAAAAAAAAATAGAGACGTTAACTTTCTAATTAAATAATCTTTATGGTGCTTTTTGAAAATTACATTTTCTTAGAGCACTTTAAAAGCCTTCAAACCTCTTTCCCCCGTCTTTTAAAAGAAAAGGTTTATCTTTTTCTTTATGCATGTTTCTGTATATCCATGTTTCTAAATGCATTCTTTTACAAATAAAATGTTAAAATAAATAAAATATCTATTTAAAATTGTTTTTTTTTTCAAGTTGGAATTTATAAATAAAACAAAAAATAAAAAATTAGAACAGCGATTGACTGAGTACATCTTTGGATTGAGGTGCCAACCATGACGTCAATCCGATACAAATATTGTTTGAATTATTAGTTAAACGATATATTCAATAAAACAAACTTGATATCGCAAAACTGATGGTTTTATAAAGAAACATTTTAAACGCTGTAACAGGAACATGAAGGCTTTGCTGACAATCCAACTTTTTTTAATAGTAAGTTTTATAAGTATATACAAGTCTAAAGTTTTAGCTGAGGACATAGGGTTTGATCATAGTCGAGATTATAACCTCATTGAAGACGAAGGTGCTTGGGAAAATCTTATTCAAACATGGAAAACACGCGCAGTAAATGATTTTAAAAACGGCTATAGAATAAAGAGGAGCACCTATGCAGAAACTGATGTACCGAAATTAGAAGAAATTGAAAAATTTATTACAACATTTGAACCTGCCTTTAAATCAGCACAAAAAACCATCAAAGATATTGTGAAAAGCAGTGCTGTTTTAACTGGTCGTTTAAAAACTGCTTACAGCATTCAAGGAAAGCTCGAAAAAAGTGGAGGTACTCTCGAGAAATTATATGATATAATTGGACTGAGGCTAACTTGTCAAACAGTAAACGACTCAGTTATAATAACCAAGGTTATTGAAGAAGATAAAACAAACTTTGAAGTTATAGAAAAAAAATGTAACGGAATGTGCCCTGGTTCTGAAAAATACAGGGAAGGCGGGTATAGAAGAATTCATCTCATTCTGCGTTTAAAACCGGATAACAAAACAGCTGAGTTACAAATTGGTACACCATTCACCAACTATTGGGCGGATTGGAGTCATGACTTTATTTATAAAGGACCCGAATTAATTACAAACCAAACAACAGTGAAGAATTACTCTTTATTACTAGCAGATTATTTTTTAAAATTAGATGATGATCGGAACCATATGCCAAAATGTCCGGAAATATTAGAAAAATCAAATGCACTTGATATTTTAAAAAAGACTTTATCAGAAAAAGACGCATTGAAAATGTTCAATAAAGTTAATGAACCCTCTAACGCTTGCTATTGGTGGTACGACATGCTTCTAGCGTTGCCTGAAAAAGCTTCCGGTAAATCAGAAACATCATACAAAAATCGCAGAAGTTTAAACCTAAATCAATTGCGGCATGATTTGGAAACTAATGGCGGCCATACAAGAGAATATATTTTAGTTGATGACAGCTCCAACACTTGGGATAACCTTATGAGCGATTGGCACAAAAAAACACAAAGCACTCTCCGGGTTAAAAGAAGAAGTCCCATTATAACTAAGTTACCAACATTAGATGAAATTGAAAAGTTTATTCAAACCTTCAAACCTGCATTTGAATCATTACAAAAAAGTATAAAAGATATAGTAAAAAATAATGCAATTTTAACGGGACGTTTAAAGGATGCAAACAGTATTCTGGAAAAGCTAGAAAAAGACAATACTAGACTTCAGGATTTAAATGATACTATTGGTCTGAGACTAACATGTCAAACAGTAGATGAATCTCTTCGAATTGTGGATAAAATAAAAAGCAACACAAAAAATTTTGAAATTTTGAATGAGAAATGTTATGGAATGTGTCCCAATGCAGGAAAATACAAAGAAAGTGGATATCGAAGAATCCATCTTATTCTTCGCTTAATACCAGAAAGTAAAATGGCTGAATTGCAAGTTGGTACACCTTATACAAATTATTGGTCAGATTGGAATCATGATTTCATTTATAAAGGTCCGCCAGAGATCAATAATAGTAGTGATGTCAATCGTTATTCGTTGGCGTTAGCTGATTACTTTTTGACATCAGATTCCAGCAGATCGATTTTACCATTGTGCCCAACGTTTTTACAAAATGCAAATGCATTGGATATTTTAAAATCAAGTTTACCATTACCTGATGCTGAAAAAATGTTTAAAAAAATAGGTGAACCACCGAATGCTTGTTTTTGGTGGTACGATATGAAACTTGAGCAAACTGAACAAGATACTAAACCGACATCACCAAGTGCATCCAGTGCAAGTTCGTTGCCTTTTAATTTATTTCCGATAATTTTTTGCATTAAGATATTATTCAAAATGTTTTAGAACTACTTTAACAGAATTATATTTAATGAGCGTGGTTTAATAATCTCATTTGCGTGGTTTAATAATCTCATTTGCGTGGTTTAATAATCTCATTTGCGTGGTTTAATTATCTCATTTGCCTGGTTGTATTGAAAGATTATACTAAATACATTAAAAAATACATTTTGCAAACGATATATTTGCATAACAAAAATTATGAAGGTAACGTGTTTTCTACGGAAAGGAAAAAATAATCACGTGAGCATGCGCAATAGGCCGGGTGAATAAAAACGAGCAACTGCTTCTACTTAGTAATTGGTCAGCTTTACGTGAATAAAAGCTTAATGAATTTCCCGTATATTTTTATTCACGTAAAGCTGAACAATTACTGAGTCAATTGCTTAACTTTACGCAAATAAAAGTTTGAGCTAAACTGCTAAAGTTTTTATTCACGTAAAGCTGACCAATTACTGAGTTAAAGTAATTGCTCATTTTTATTCACTCGGCCTTATATAATCACCATATATTTAATTGTAGTAAAATAATAATAATAGTAAACACACTTAGCAAATTATTATCAGTGCTTTATTATTGTAGCACTATTACAGTCATTACAGTTTGATATAAAAAAAAAATGAATGATTATGAAAAATGCAAAAAAACCTTTTTTTAAGAATGTTGAATATCAAGAATGAAAGAAATCCGTAAGAAAATCTTTTTTTATGCAACGTTTGGGAATTCAGACGAGAGTACTACTCATATACTTTACTATATTCTAGAACAAATATTTTCCTGCGGCTTTTCTTAAACCAGAGATAAAGGGTGTTATTATTTATTATTTAGTTCATAGAAATAAACTAAACACTGTTTAAATTGAGGATTAGAGTTTACAATTCGTGATGTAAATAGTAGGATCATATCTTTCTTTTTTAACGTTGAGAGAATTACACTTTCGATTGTTATCTATTTAATTATTTTATAGCTGTTGTTGTTTATTATATATTAATAAAATATATGCTTTTTATCTTATTTATGTTTTGTAATAAATCTTACATTATTATTTTATAATTTAATTAAATTGCTAATAAAATTTTTTTATATTGCTTTCAAATTAATTTTTAATTTCAACTTTATTAAATAAAGTTAAAATTAACAATGAATAATCAGAAGCATAAGTTTTTAAATATATAAATAATAATAATAATAATAATAAGATTAACATACTAGAATCATAAAATTTTAAACGCAAAAATAATGTTATAAATAAAAACAGAATATTAAATTTTTCACTATAAAAATTAGATTTTATTTTATCTTATTATTTTTTATAAAAAAATATTTTATCTTTAAAAATTTTATCTTAAAAAATTTATTTTATCTTATTATTTTTTATAAAAAAAATCGCTTTAATACCCTTGTCTTTAAAAATAGGTATTCTCGTCATATTTCCCAAACTTTGCGTAAAAAAGTTTGGGAAAATTTTTATTATTTTTTGTTGCACTTTACTTTGAGTAAAGTGCAACAAAAAATAAAAATGTGGTTTCAATGGAAGAAAAAAAAAAGAGTAAATAAAACAAAACTTTATCAACAACGTATAACAAAATTAGCACGGGGATAAGTACACACACATTATGTACACATCTATTATTTATTAATTCGTCATTTATAAACATTTAAATGACTAAACAAATTACACAATATATTTTCAAAATATTTTGTTGACACTTTTCATGTTTTTATCAATAACATCGTTTCGATGACTAAGCCAATGATGCCATTCTATTTTTATTTTTCCATACACATTTTCTTACCTAGTGTATCCAAGCTAATGAGTTTGATCAAGCAAGACAAAAACATGTTTCAAGTCTGTATGCACACAGTTTATTCCATTCTCTTTCCAAAAAGAATGAGTTGTGCGTTTCCAGGCTTGGTATATATATTAAACCCGCAATGCAAGATACTGGAGGACAATAAATACTAATACCAGTATTATAATAACTAATACCAGTAAACTAATACCAATATTGTAAAAAAAATGGCTGTAGTGTAGTGCTTAGAGTTTTGGCTTCAGAACTGGTAAGGAAGGAGGAGTGAAATTCCTATTAAATTGTTATTCCACGGTGCTCTGTGATAAGACCATTAGGACTTCTTGGAACAGCTAAAAATAATTAAGTACCATAAGCATAGATTTTATCGTAACTAAACAATAGCAATTTTTCCAACAATTAAAAATGGTAGATAATTAAAATGTCGTGTATATTTTTAAATTTTTATGTTGGAAGAGTGGGGCACCAAAATACACTTTTAATTTTTGCTTCATAACAGTTTTTTAATACGTCTTTTTTTTAGGTAATTGGTTTAATTTGTAGAATAAATTTATGCCTATAAAATTAAATTTGTAAATTACCAAAATATAGCAGGTTAAACTTATGAGACTATTTAAAGTAAAAATTTGTCGATGTATGGGGTACATATTATACACTCTATAAGCAACATTAAAAAGAAAAGAAAAAAAGTATAAACGTAGAGGAAAGGCAGATTTTCACTCGAAAGACAAACAAATTAATAACTATAACCCAAATAACAGTCCAATAGTCCAAATAACATTTTTGAAGATAAGATAATATATCGTTATAAATGTCATTCTTAATGTCCGTGCTTCAATAAATAATGAATTTGTATCAAAATTGAATCTACTAAAAAGTAATAAATTATTTTGCCATCAAAAAACCCCAAATTTTGACCCCTTGCAGGCCTATAATTTTTTTTTCAAAACATAGCTTTAGTAGTAAATGTTTCACCTTACGAAAGTGACTGTCACATATCTTGAAATACCTTCTCAATTACAATGTTTCATGAGGCTTCATGTATCAAGGCATACTACTTCCCTATAAACATTACTAAAGTAAATAGTAGTCGGAGGGAAATACAAGCAAACCCGCAAAAAAACAGTATAAAGCTGAAATTTGGCACACAGAATGTATACAGTCGTTGGATGAGTGTAAAAAAAGCCCCTTTGATTGAGCTGTGGAAATCGTGTCAAAAAGTGGGTCAATTTTAATAACTCCAAAAATGGTATTTTGGAGTTATCAAAATACCATATTAAATTACACAGGTCAACAGAGTAAATTTTATCATTGCAAACAAATATAAACTTTTATAAATGTATATTTGATGCTGAATTCAAATCTGGTTACATTTTTTTCTAGCACCTATAGTTTTTAAATTATTTACACTTTTAATTGTTTGCAAACCATTTATTTGAAAAAAAGTAACATATACATTAGAGTGAGCTGAAACGCAATATTTTTTTAAAATTCCCTTTCATTACCTTTAAATATATTCTACATAACAAAATAACACTGGATACAAGAAGCTTTTGGTTGACCCCAACGGCCTTTGTTATTTTTTGAATATATACATATATATTATATATATATATATATTATCTTTATTGCGGTTACAGCCATCTCATAACTCTACGTTGAAACCAAACGTTAGATCAACGTTAAAAACAAACCAAAAATTGACGTTAGATTAACGCAGATTTAGCGTTGATTCAACGAACTTATGTACGAGATTGCTTTTTTGTACATTTGTTGTTGTGAGTAAGAAAATAAATAAAATTATATTAGCTGTCATAGTACAATATCTTATGTTATCGAATCTGAATCTCAGTTGTTGCAGTTTTCATTTATTATTATTAGTATTATTATTATTGATAGTTAATTTTATATTATATTCTTATCTATTATTATAGATTTACAAATAATCTACTCTTTTATAATTTTGTTAACGCAAGTAAATAAATTATAAGTAAAAACAAATGAAACCAAAAAAATAATTTTTAAAACAAAAAATTATACAAAATTAAAATCATATTTAAAACGATCTTAATAAAATCATGTCATCATGTCATTTTTTTTTTTAAACAGTAAGGAAGTTAAAAAGTATGTTTTTAATAAGTACATGATTAAAAATTCTAATTTTATACTTAAATTAAACAATTTTATGAACTTATTGTTTTTAAAAATATTTAAAATTAAAACTATTTAATACTAATATAATAAGGGAATTTAGAGTTGTACGGCTACTTTACCAAGCCCCCGTTAAACATTCTAAACCGAGTGCGCAACAACGGCAGAATTTAGATAAGTTAAATATAAAATCAAAATAGGCGATTAAGTTAAATGAAAATTGCCACCTAAAAAAAATTAAGATCTCCTTTTTTAAAAATAAATTTAGTTTTGAGTTCTAAACATAGGTCTTAAAATCAATGAAAGTGCTTTTCAATGATTTTCAGACCTATATTAGGAACTTTTAATAACGTTTTAAAGACAAGACCACTAAATATTTAATAAAAGGTTATAATAGCAATTACAAATATAAACTTTTTATTATTAAATAACAAGATAGTTACATGTTAATTAAATGTTTGTTAATTAGTGTTTGCTTTTCTGAGTTTATCCAATTCTTTTAATGGGCTCCATTAACAAGTATCTTATATCTTTTTATTGAGTACAAAATACTTAAGTTTTTCTCATTATATAGGTCACTTCCTCAAATCCCTGAAATAAGTACTATCCCTCATAATATAGGTCACTTCTTCACAGTCGAGGAGGAAAACAAAAGATCCAGTAATTTACTTCTCAACTTATATATCATCAAAGCCATTTTTAGCTCCAGCTGGCTCTCCGGCATTCCTAGTTCCTGCACATCCGTTTCTCATTCGCTCTAATAAATCATTATTTCCGATGGAAACTATTTGTCAATTAAATAGATATTTTTAAACAATTCCAGGATTACGATAGTGAAAAACTATTTCGATACCATTTTCAGAATTTTTTTATTTATTTATTTATTTTAGGTGCCGCAAGAAGTCCATACAGTCTTATCACGGGGAACCGAGAAAGAGCATTTGAAAGAAAGTTATCGCCTAGTATAATGCTTTTAAAAGTTGATCGAATTATTTTTAGAATCAACATTTTTTCTCTTTCTAGGTTGAGACATTTTTTGGTATTTTTTTAAAGTTGGGTAGTTTTTTATGAAATGCTTATCCATTATGTTTTTAAACTACATGTTCCCTTCATATGCTACCCAAGTAGCAAACAATATTGGCGTAATATTGGCACGATTTTGGGTATCTTGGCTAATCTTGGCCAAGATATCCGATATTGCGCCAATATTGTCGAGCAATATTACGCCAATATTGTCTTACCAATATTGAGAAACAATATTGCGCCAACATTATCCCATTATCAATTTACTGATATTGTGATGCCAATATTGGCGAAATATTGTTTGCCAATATTGGCTTTGTATTAAATTTTACATAATGGTACGCATGCGTAACATGAATGTCCTTTAGTAATTTCATAATGTCCTTTAGTTTTGTTAAAAGTTTTAAATGTAAATAATAGCATCTTTTTACATAAACAGGCATCCTTATGTTATTTATTTTTTTGCAAAAATAAATAAGAGTTCAAAATAAAAAATTTAATTTATGAAAAGAGGAGAAGCAGGAAAAGTATTTTTAATTCAACATTTACAGAGTGAATCAGGAGAAGAAGTGTTGTTTATTTATTTTAAAACAGATAGTATCACGAGAAGAAGTAGTGATAGTAATAAAATTCTTTTATTCAACATTACGAATTGAATTACGAGAAGAAGTGGTTGTAATTAATTTAAAACATATTGCATCACGAGAAGAATAGGACAAATATTGCTATACTTAAGTATCAAGAATAAAATAGTAAGTTTACTCTTAAACGAAAATACTTTAAGAAGATTTCATCTATAAAATATAAGTTTTATAGTCTATTTATTTTGTTAAAGATATTCGTTTAAGAAATAAATACGTCATTATTATTGTTTCTAACTGTTGTAAGATCTTAATTTACGAAAAAGGTACCCCTGCTTGACACATAATAACATCAATAATATATATATATATATATATATACATATAATATATATATATATATATATATATATATATATATATATATATATATATGTATATATATATATATATGTATATATATATATATATATATATATATATATATATATATATATATATATATATATATATATATATATATATATATATGTATATATATATATATATATATATATATATATATATATATATATATATATATATATATATACTCTTGCATGGTAGTTAGAAAGAGTTTTTTGAGGCTATTTGTCAGTTGTTGTAGCAGCACTCCCTTGCGAGTCAGGCTATAAGATAGTCGATGTAGAAACACTCCCTTGTAGCAGCAGGCTATAAGATAGTCGATGTAGCAACATTTACGCATGTTTTAAAAATGTTTTTTAATAAAACAAAAACAAAAGCACCACTAATTAAAAAAAACTTTCTAGTCGTTATTATTGCGGTTTTTTAAAAATTTTTTAAAAAACAATAAAATTTAATGTACTTCTGCATTAATTTAATTGCTTTGACATTTCAACGACAATCAAAAACAGCTTAAGAGACGAGGTAATTAATATTGTAGTCGAAAGAGACTTTTTTTACATTAAAAGACTCTTTCGACATCTTTCTTACATTAAAAGAATCTGCTACATCACGTTATGTTGAGAGTAGTTAAATAATATTAAAGTAAAATTCACACATTAAGTAATGCTGAAAATAGTAAAAATTATATAAATGCGACTTTGAAAATGCAGTAAACTTTAGTGAGGATTGATGTTGGACATTAGCCTTGTAGAATAAAACTGATATAGAAAATTTATATCAGATATATTGAAATCTTTCAACACATTTCACAACTCCTACTTCTAAAATTAAAAGCTTATAGAATAAATGACTAACTCTACAATTGGATTTTAATGTTACTTAAGAGATCTGCATTAGAGTATCATTGTTAGTGGTACATACACAGAATGGATAATAGTAAATAGTGGGGTCCCCCATTATTTACTTTTATGATATATAATAAAGATTTTTCTGATTTGGTTTTAGATGTTGTATCTGCATTTACAGATGATACTAAGTTATACAGTTTGCTTTTTGATAGCTCACCATGCAATAACCTGCAATAAAGTATGGACATTATAGGGAACTGGGAAAAACTATGAGGTAAAAATTTCCATTATTTCATTCTAGATGTGTCATGACAGAAGATACTAAGTTACACAAGATGAGTTGGATCAAACATTAGAGCAATTTCTAGAACAGTTTGGTGAAAGACCAAGGTATGTGCTTCTCTAAAGACTATTTAATCTTAAATTTATTCTATCAAATTTTTTTTATGGTTAAAGCTTGCACTTGTTTAGTTACATTAATTAATATTAAGATAAAAGTAAAAAAAAATTTTTTTAGTGTTTGAGCATTGGTTTATTTAAACTTTAATTGACAATTTTCTTAATTTAACCATAGTATATTTAAAGTGATATGTATTTGTTAACTTGTTACTTGTTAAGGTATTTTATTTTTGTTAAAAAAATTATTTCTCTAAAATTTTATATTGATATCTGTGGTACAAAAAAAAAAAAGTAAAGTTATACCCTTAGGACCAACAAATACAAAATTCATTTATATACTCGTTTATAAAAATCTCAATACTTCAATTAATATTAAAAACTCTCTCGTCAATAAATAGATCTTCATTGTCAGTAATTTGACTATTATTTTGTAAGTACTAAGAATAACACCGCTAATTAAGTTGTAGGAACGATCAAAAGATCATTTGTCAATCTCAATATCTTGACATTTCGTACTTTGTTTATTTTCCTTGTTCGTCCTCACCTTGATTCTTGCAGCTCTGTCTACTATCCTAGACTTTAAAAAGATCAACAATTAATTTAAAATGTTCTATGCTAGTCTAGTAAATTTGTTTTTGGTCAGACTGGGCTCACTTGCAACCAAAGACTACTGAGATTAAATTTAAATAGCATGAGCTATCGTTTCTTATGTAATGACATGGCAGAAACTTACAAATGCATTCACAATCTTTATAATTGTAGTTGCAACCCTTTTGTTTCCTCATAAAATACCATTCAGTATTTTATCTATCAACACCTGTGTCAGAATGATGTCATCTGCACAGCCATTATATTTATTATTGTAATTACAGACCATTAAATAGTTCAATTGAGTTGTAATAGCGTTCGTGTTAATATGGCCACTTCTTAATATTAATATATGATTATATGTTTAGTTAGTATTTATTCCTCTATTATGACCAACTCCAACTTAACAACATGCGATCATGCTTATAAATTGAAAAAAATGTTTTGTAAGACAGATATCCGGAAAAAACTTTTCTAATATGGGATTCACAAATTTGTAGAATAGTCTACCATCTGAAATAGTGTTCAACATCTGTCACGACATTAAAAAAACATCTAGATGCATCTTGGGTTCATTATATTTTTTTATATCATAAATTTATTTGTGATTATTCTTTAGCTGATGCACCGTTAAACTGAAGGTGCTAATAAAGTTTACAAAATTTGCTCTGGCTGAATTTTTCAATAAAAAAACAATATGTGTGCTATGAATGTAATCTGTTTTTCATGGCGTTTCAATGAAAGTTTGGTGTATTGGCCAAATCATTTTTAAGCATCTTGCCTTTAAACTGCCATACGTAAAGTCACGGTTTTAAAAGTAACTGAAAGCAGCTGAAAATAAGAATTTTTGGGTAATTGTCTTATTTACAATATTGTTTTTGTTTTATTTACAGTATTGTCTTTGTTTTTTATCTAAACAGCTATGTTTGACTCAAATATAGTAAATGTTGATTGTTTAGTATGGTTTCATCTCTTCTTTATACTTGTTTTTTGAATTATCTGTGCCTCCAGCTTAAAAGGATGCAGGTTACAAAAAAAGTGACACTGAGAGACAGATTGTCTCTCAGTTTCTCAAAGATTGAAGAAATCTTTAGTGTTTTAAGGTTAAGTGATTCCATCAGAGCTTTGCTTGACTATCTCTTTCGATTTATTGAATTTATTTGCCGGTTATAGATGAAAAAAGATTTTTCAAACCTAGAAGAAAAATTATGGATTTTGAGTTGACCTTTTGAATCAATAGTATATATCAGTGAATTGATATTAGTTAATAGTTTTTGGAAACAGTACCATGTACTATTAAAGTTTCTAATTTTTAAAATATATGATACATTTATATGAAACATACTAACAAATGATACAATATGATACGTGATTGACTATAATTATGTTGTATATCAGAATGTTTTATATAAATGCTTATTACATTTTGTTGTGATTTTTATCTTTTATGCCCAGTTAGCAATGTATTTTGTGTAGCAATGACTACTAATCTCAGATATCTTTGACATCTGTATGGTGTATTCACCGCTACAGATGTCATAATCTATTTATAACCAATTGCTTTTACTCTTCCATAATGTCATATTTTAATAAGAATCACATTATGGAAAACTGTCTAAAACATACACATGAGGAACCATTATACTTTTAGTACAACCAATTATATTACATTTGTTTTCTTATTTTAGATGAACTTTCTTACTTCGGTTGGTGGAGATGAGAAACAACTTACAGCGGCAATCTTAATACAGCTAATGGCCAAAGAAGTATGTTTTTCATACTCAGTGTATGGAATGAAACAAAAACGTCCTGCAAGGTCGTTATAGGTAAAGCACAATATTTGTATTCTGCATTCCATTTCCTTTTAATAAATAAATATTTTAATAAAAGCTAATTACTTTACAATATTTATACGTGAAAAGTTATATATTTCAAAATTATATTGTGATGATATTTAAAAAACATTTGTAGAGTTGCGTTTAGTCGTTTATCGTTGTATTCATTCATTTCGAAATCGCTACTGACAAAAGTATTAAAGAAAAAGTTGGCAGCTTTCCGGCGACGGCCATTAATAGAGATTATGGAAGAAAAATAGAACAGTAACTAAGCAACGCCCAATATTGAGCAATGAAATAAGTATCGCCAATATAATAAAAGTCGATGCCCACTATCTCATAGTGAGAGTATAATACAGTAGTTTTTATATATATATATATATATATATATATATATATATATATATATATATATATATATATATATATATGTATATATATATATATATATATATATGTATATATATATATATATATGTATTTATATGTATATATATATATATATATATATATATATATATATATATATATATAATATATACAGTTCCAACTGTTGCTAAGGCCGTTGCTAAGGAACTTTTGGATGTTTAACCCTTTTTAAGAAACAAAATTAGGGCAAAATTAAATTTTTCTTCTATTGTTATATATTTTTATTGCTTATAAAGGATAAAACTTCCAAAAAATAGATTTTTTGTTTTTTTTTTTTTTGTTTTTTTTTAAACTTTATTTAGTGGGTAAGGATAATTAAGGATAATTAAGGATTAAGGATCGTCCATAAAATACGCAATGCTAAATTTTACTAAAAAACGCTAAATTAAAAAAAAAATGTTTTACAAAACAAATGCTTTCCTTGAAGCTGGATAGATTAGTTGGTTAGAGCGTCGAACAAAAATAATTAAACCCGGACAGTTGGTATGATTCAAATCTTTTCCCCGCCATCTCAGCGCTTGAGTAGTACTTCGGTAAGCCGAACAATATCTTCGGATATAAGAATATTCTATAGAAAAATAGCATGAAAATTCAAATAAATTAAAAAATAAAAAAATTCGCAGAGCCTTCATTTAAAGATAAAAAAAAGTCAAAATAGCGCCTAAAGTTTAATGAAGTTCGAATCAAAAAAAAGTATTTTATTTCCCACTTCTGTTTTTTAAATAAATTTTGCGTAATTTATGGACAATCCCAAAGACAGTTTTTCCGGGTGACCAGTGAAAATCCTTTTTCTAGTCCAAACGTTTGGTCTGGGGAAACGGTGGAAATCCTTTTTCTAGTCCAAACGTTAGTCTGAATCTCGCGGTGCTCTATGATAAGACCGTAAGGACTTCTGGGAGCACCTAAATACATACAAAAAAAAAAAAAATCCAGCTAAAAATTATAATAAAAAAAGAAAGCAACAAAGTACAGAGAAATACAATATGTCGTTATTTATTTAAAAAAAGTTTCTTCTTTTGCTTTTTATTTAAACAGATTTCTATTTTCGTTATTTATATAAAACAAAATACGGATGCGCAATTATTTCGTCAAAGGTAAACAATTTTGCAAAACAGGAAACTCAGCATTGGCCAAAACTTTTGTTGAATAAAAGTTAACTAAATTTTTAAATAATAAGTTCTGCATAAAAATATTTCTTTTTACTTAGGTAGAAAGTTAAAGACCTTTTAACTATTTTTTTATCTTTTAATTAAGACTTTAATTAATTGTTTTAATAAAAAAAAGGTCTTTTTTTTCCTAATTTTTAATTTTAAAAAGTTTAAATTTCTTTGATCTTATGTTTGTATTATAAACTGTTCCAAACATCGATTAAAATTGAATTTTATTGCAGAGCTTGACAATTTTTTTTTTTTTAATAAAAAAAAAAAAAAAAAAAAAAAAACGACTCCGCCATCATAATGCATAAATTTTTCTTTTTACAAATTAAAGTGAATTCGCATTTTATGTAAAATTTTAAAATGATGAAATTATTTTACTATTTGATAATTTGCAGAACGATGGATGTTTTATTTTTTATATTTTTATTTTTTATTCAAGGAAAATACGAGAGATCAATGTGGAGTAATTATTCAATTTTTAAATCTTTTGTAAAGAATAAATAGTTTTTGTTTTCACTTATGTCATTGCGTAATTTTTAAAATAGATCACAAAAAAAGCGCTATTTCCTTAGCTTGTCCGAAAAGTGTTTTTTTGGCAAAACTGTCTCAAAATTGTTTTTTAGTAGTATTCCCGCTAAATAGCATTAAGCCGAAATCGATTTAACATCTTCTGTGTTTACCAAAAAACAAACAAGTTTTTACCAAAAAACATAATTTATGAATGCATCACTAATCATTAAACGCATCAATAACTATTAAATGCATTGATGTAAAAAACAGATTTAGTGTCAGTGCTCTGGACAATAAAAACATGAAAACACTTCTAATATCCATTCAGTTTTTTTTTGTTATATTTATTATATACGTTTGTGTCATTAACACCGAGGACATCCCATATGAACACAGTCGAAATTACCGTCTCATTGAAGATGATTCTGCTTGGGAAAACCTTATTAATGACTGGACAAGTGAAGCAGAAAAAGATTTAAGTGGTTTACACGAGATAAAAAGAAGCAGTGTAGTTGCAACAGAAACACCAAGTATAGAAAAAATAAAAGAGTTTATTCAAACATTTGAACCTGCATTTAAAAAAGCTCAAAAAAATATACAAAACATTGTGAAAAGCAGTGCTGTTTTAACTGGTCGTTTAAAAGCTGCTTACAGCGTTCAAGGAAAACTAAAAAATGATGGAAATGGTCTTGAGGATTTAAAAGATATCATTGGACTAAGACTAACGTGTCAAACAGTAAAAGATTCTCTCCAAATAACTAAAGCTATTAAGGAAGATAAAAAAAATTTTGAAATTTTAGAAGAGAAATGTTATGGAATGTGTCCTGGTGCTGAAAAATACAAAAAGGGTGGATACAGGAGAATTCATCTAATTCTTCGCTTGAAACCAGAAAATAAACCAGCAGAGTTACAAATTGGTACACCATTTACAAACTATTGGGCAGATTGGAGTCATGACTTTATCTATAAGGGACCCGCAGAAATAACGAACCAATCAACGGTTCAGAGTTATTCCGTGTTATTAGCTGATTATTTTTTAAAACTAGACAATGAGCGTGACAAGATGCCAATTTGTCCAAATATTTTAAATAAATCAAATGCTCTTGATATTTTAAAAACAGCTATACCAAATGAAAAAGATGCAATAAAAATGTTTAATAAAGTTAATCAACCCCCTAATGCATGTTTTTGGTGGTACGATATGCTTTTAGCTCTTCCAGAAAAAACTTGCTGTAAACAAGATGCATCCCACAGAAAACAAAACCACCTTCATGAACGTAGAAGTTCACAGAAAATCCGAGGTTTCCACGAACACAGAAAAAAAACAGAAAAAAATCAAGTCAATCAAAGTTTTGATTTTATCGGAGGCCATACACGAGACTATATTTTATTAGATGATCAGTTGAACTCCTGGAATAAACTTCTCAGTAACTGGCAAAGAGAAGCGAAAAACAATCTCTGGGTAAGAAGAAGTAGCTCGGGTGTATCACAGATACCGACACTTCCTGAGATTGAAAAATTCATTAAGACACACCAACAAGCTTTTGACTCAGCACAAAAAAGCATCAAAAGTATTGTGAACAGCAGTGCTGTTTTAACTGGTCGTTTAAAAGCAGCATACAGCGTTCAAGGAAAATTAGAAAAGGATAAAACTACTCTACAGGAGTTAAACGATATCATCGGCCTTAGACTAACTTGTCAAACAGTAAATGAAGCTCTTCGAATTACTGATGCTATTAAAAAAGACAAAAAAAACTTTGAAATATTGAAAGAAAAATGTTATGGAATGTGTCCCAAAGCAGGAAAATACAAAGAAGGTGGATATCGAAGAATCCATCTCATTCTTCGTTTAATACAAGGCAATAAAACAGCTGAACTACAAATCGGAACGCCATATACAAACTATTGGTCAGACTGGAGTCATGATTTTATTTATAAAGGTCCACCAGAAATTAGTAAAAGTATAGAAGTAAATAGTTATTCATTGGCGTTAGCTGATTATTTTTTGATATCAGACACCAGCAGATCAAACTTGCCATTGTGCCCATCTTTTTTAAAAAGTGCAAATGCAATGAAGATTCTAAATTCGAGTTTACCCCCAGCTGATGCTGAAAAAATGTTCAAAAAGATAGGTGAACCACCGAATGGTTGTTTTTGGTGGTACGATATGAAACTTGGACAATAACAGTCCGGAAAAATTTTATTGTAAATTAGAAGTTAACTTATCAAATAATTTAAATACTTTTTCTTTAATCAAAATTTTGTTTTTTCTGTAATCAAAGTAAGATATTTTTAAAACAATAGTAATAAAAAAAAGATCGATGACGACAAAATAACAAAATAAGTTTAAAATTTGACATTACATAATAATATGTTACGTGCAAATAAATATCTTTATTACCATAAATTGTTTGTCTAAAAGTTGCCTAGCAACTTTTGTGTTGGATTTTGTTGATTGTAAATTGTAATTTAAGAAAAGGGCAAATTAACTAATACTTGTTAACGAATTGCAGTAACACCTAAAGTTTTTTTTGCAAGTGTAATAAATATGGATTGGCTCCTACAATGGGCGAAAATGAGTTAGAAGTATTTTGGCTAGGCTTGTGTTGCAAATACAATTTAGTCGTATAAAATATCAGGGCCGACAACACGGGTTTTAAAGTGGGGGGAGGGGGTACAATCAACAATTTGTTAAAAAAAAAGAAGACCATTTTTTTTTTCACAAATTCAAAAAAATAGTCCTTTTCTAGAGGATTATTTTTTTTGTGAAAAAAAAGGTCTTCTAGAAAAAAAGTGGGGGGGGGGGAGGGGGCACGTGCTCCTGGTTACCTCTATGTCGTGGGCCCTGAATATTTTGTAAAAGGTAAAAGATGCGGTGAAAATTTTATTTTAAAAAAGCAATACACATAAATAGCGCGTTTAAAATACAGAAAATATTAAATTATACACTGAGTTGCTTTTACTCACGGCCACTACGGCATTTGTCAGAGAAGACATTTTGAATAAAAAAAAAAAGTTTTTAAAAAATTAAAATGAAAATTGAGTTCTCTTAAAATTATTGAATTAATGAAAGTTGTTTTTATAAAAAAGAAAAATGTCTGCATACACTTCAAAGTTTTTCTCTGCACACAATAGAATTTGTTCCAACGTTTTTACAATATCAGGTATGACGCGTCATTTATCGGATTTTTTATTTTAATGGTAAAGTCTAGTTTTATATCAACTTCTTTTAGTCTAAATTTATTTTGAGTTTAAAATCATGGCTAATTGAAAATAAAAAGTAGGCCATTGCTGCAACAGTTTGTAGTAACAGAACTGTGAACCTAAAAGCCTTAAAAATTTTTAAGTTTATAATTTTTTTTAAATTTATATCACTTGAGACTTTTTATAATCAGTTTTCTTAAAATTTTGCAGTGAAAGTGGATTTCCTAATGCTCTTGATTATTTCCCTCAATTGCGTCAACCACTCACTAATGATTGATCGGTTGATACTCTCAAGTCTTCAGAGATTGGCATCACTAATGAAAATGAAAGTGCCACTAGTTTAACACTCTCACCTGAAAATTGGTAAGAGTTTGCTAAAAAGAACAAAACTTTTGTCAGTTCTACCTTAAAAATTTTTTGAAATAGCTTACTGTATTTGTATGGACAATGATTTGATTAATACCTTATGCAAAAACTATCAAATCCAAAAACTAAAAGAGCTAGTTTTAAATAACTCAGAATATTATTTCCGCTATGAATCAAATTATAAAACTTGTGTTAAACATTTTTTGTCAAAATCAAATTAATGGAGAGAAAAAAATGCGTGTCTGGTTGACGTTTGAAATTAGTATATATTGTTGTCTTTTATTTTATTTTTGACAATGCCAAGAGCATGATGGCTTAATAAGATAGTTCAAGATTGGAAAAAAATGCAGATCCAACGGCTCTCTCTAAATAAGAACAGTCAGTAGAATATAATCGTGTCGTTAGAACTTTTGTTATCTGCAGTGATGCCAGTGTTCAACTCAACTGTGAGTTTGTGAAACAAAAAAAAATAGAGCAACTGGGGTGCAACTTTAGGTGATTTATACCATCAAGTATCTTGCTAACAAGAGTTTTATAACGTTATATTATTGGCTCATTGAAAATTTTTTGTTGAAAAACATCTCTTTAAATTTACAGTGGTCTGCCATTTCGTGTAAAAATTAGTAAATTGGTTCAAAACACAACAAAAATTATTAGGATACCAATGATATTAAAAGAGTAATAAGTTGTTCCTAATATATTACTGTTAAAGACGTGTAAAACAGGTCTAGACGTCTTTTTGGTTTTGCTTTAGGCTACTTATTCAAACCTAAACTAGTTCTTCGTCCATTCAAGCCTAAATAGATTCAATTAGACTCAAATTTGATTATTGAGCAGAGAAATAAATCTGCTAATAATAAAAAAAAAAGATAAGCTAGTTTGTTTTAAGTTAAAATTAAGAGAAAAATCTCATATTTTATCAATAAATAAATGTTGGCGATTTTAATCTTTTTTAAGTTGACCGCAGTACCACAACAAACTTGGTAGAAGTCAACCTCTTACTTGAAAAAAAATTCTTCGAAAAAAAGTGGGTTAAATATTGCAGCACCAAGTTATTTTTCATTTATCTCAAACCTATAAAAATTATTATTATTATTATAATTTTTTGAAATTCTTTTCCGTTGCTTTGCGTTTTTGAGCACTTATTTCCTACAATTTAAATTGGAAGAAATAGGCATTTCGCCCGCGTCCGCATTATTATAAACATTCAAATCACGCTGAAAAAAAATCTATAAATAGTTTTTAAAATTTTATGACATCTGAATTAACTCATAGTTGCACCACAATATTGAAATAAACTTAACAAAATAATCCAAATGTGATGAAATAATATTAGCAAACGAAAATAGTCATGTTGTATTTAATTTGAAGAAATCATTTATATTTATCCACTTATCTATCAAAGTCCATCTTTAAATAGTTATAAATAAACAAGTTAAAAGAATATTTTATAATATATAATATTTTATATCTTTATCGATAAGAATTTTTCTCAATTGTTATGGATAACTTAATAATGGAAGAACTTGAAGTATTGCAGGCAATATTTCAAGATGACATTGCCTTTGATCCTGAACTTCTATGGTTGACTTATTTTATAAATAAAACTCTTGCTTTAGAGATATTTCTTGATGGTAAGTAAGCTTTGAGATGTAATATGATATAAAGAAAAAAAAAAAAAAAAAAAAAACATAAAAAAAGAAACTTTTAACAAAAAAACACTCAAAATTAACTTTTAAAAAAACAAATAAAAGAAAATTCGAACATCGATTTTAACTTAACAAAAAAAGAAAAAAGAAAAATAAAAGAGATAAAAAAAAGAGATATGTTGATAAATTAATAAGAAAATAAAAAAAGAAGATCATTTTATTAAAAGAGAAGATAATTTTTATAGTTTTTATTTTTGTTATTATTGTATTTATTATTATCTTAAAAATTATATGTATATCTTTTTTTTATATTACTACCTTTTATTATTAGATTACTTGTTTTGATATATAATATTAAATTTTATGTTTATTATTGTTAATATATTTTTAATTTACATTACTCTTAACTTTGATTAGTTTTTTTACTTATTTAGTTTGATTTTATAACTTTTTTTAATATTTTTGTTTTTGTTAGTTTACTATTTGTTTGGCTGTTGCATTATTGTTTAACTACCATTATTATTATAGTTGTTAGTTTTTTCAATGTTGTAATTGGTTGTTTTTAATAATCTATTCATACACATTGTTTTATTTTAACAATTATGATAATATAGCTAATTACTTCCTACTTATTGTTTCTTACATTCTCTTTAATATTGCGGTTCTACTATGGCTTTAAACTGTCATTTGTATAAAAAATTAATTAGCCAAAGTTGCCGCTCATCTCAATACAATATTTGTTTATTTTGGACTCGTACAAAATGTAACAGGCTTAATGATACTAAGTACAGTTTACTATTATTAAGTCACTTGTTGCAGAGTTGTGTAAACTGTATTAAAAGTGTCTTTCCATTCACAGATGTACAATATAATGATTTTAAATTACTATTTTCTTCTGATAAAATTCTTAAAACTAATGATTTACCTCTGTCTACAAATCTTTTCCTGTCTTTTCATTTAAATAAAGTCTCTAATCAAATTAATAGTTATGTTTCATCTCATGTTTTAGATTCTGAGGAAGAAATTTCTAATTCATTAGACATAGTTTGTAAATATTATGACATGAGCAAGTTATGTACCCCTAATTTTAATATAATAAACGCTTTCTCCTTTTTTCATCTAAACATATCATCATTACAAATACACTTTGAGGATTTAAACATAATACTATCATTAATTAATTTTGATTTTTCCATTATTGGTATAACTGAAACAAGGTTAAAAAAAGGAACAACCTCAATTCATCCAACTCTCATTGATAATTACAATATTGAGTACACACCAACAAAATCTTCTTGTGGCGGTACATTATTATAGTTATTAAAAAGACTAATTTACACAAAAAGTGATGATTTAATGACTTACACACATAATTGTTTAGAATCCACATTTGTTGAAGTTATTTTTTCTAAAAAGTCTAATAATGTTGGTTGCATTTATAGACACCCTTGCATGGATATTAATATTTTTAATAATATTATGTCTGTCTTACTTCAAAAAATATCTGCTAAAAATAAATCTATTTTCTTATTTGGTGATTATAATATTAATCTGATGCAATCGAATAATGACATTGCAATGTCTGATTTTTTAAACTTATTTTCTTTTAATAATACATATTTTAATAATGTTTTAATACTATTTGCTCTTTTATTAATTTGCCGACTAGAATTACTGATCACGCTGCTACAGTTATTAATAATATTTTTTCTAGTTTAATAGCTAATAAAATTGTTTCAAATTTGACAACTTCTGTTTCTGATCACTTACTTCAATTTTGTATTTGTCTTAATTTCAATAAATTATTTATACCACACATACACAATTTATATAGCAGGAGTTTTAAAAACTTTAATAAAGAAAACTTTAAATCTGATTTATCAAAAGTTGACTGGGACTATGTTATTAAGTCCAATGAATCTAAAACATGTTTCCAAACGTTTTTTACTGACAACATTGATTTTAGATCACTACACCCTGCTTAAAAAAACAAGTATCAAAAACTTTAAATGTTGATTCAAACCATGGGTTACAAAAAGAATTATAAAATCTATTCAAGTGCACAATCTTTTCCAACAAAAAATGATAAGATCTAAAGATCTTATTAATAAAAAAAAGTTGTAAAAGATTTTAAAAAATCTTCGCGAACTTTGGAAAGGCATTAACATTCTAATTAATGTAAAAAGTTTTAATAAATCATCTACCAACTGTTTGCAAGAAAATGAATTGTAATATAACTGATCCAACTCTAATCTCTGAATTATTCAACACTTTTTTTTTACAAATGTTGCTTATAAACTCAAATCCAATATTTATTTGTCTTACATTAACTATCAAAAGTTTCTTAAATATCCAAAGTTACATAGTTTATTATTATCTCAAAAAAATATTCCTGAAATTTCATCTCTTATATCTAAATTGAATCCAAAAAAATTATTAGATCTAAACAGCATTCCCACAAATATTCTTATATATTTTAACTATGGATTTTCAAATATTTTTTATAAACTAGTTAATACCTCATTTATAAGTGAAACTTTCCTGATATTTTGAAATTATCTTGCATTATTCCAATTTTTAAAAATGGCTCTAAACTTTCATGCACTAACTACAGACCTATTTCTCCTTTATCTAATATTAGTAAACTTCTTGAGAAACTTATGTATTCTAGAGTGTACTCTTTTCTAAGCTCATTTAATTGTTTAAACGATTTTTTTGGTTTTTGATCAAAACATTCTACTTGCCATGCATTAATTTTAATAAGTATAACGGAAAAAATTAGGAAATCTCTTGATTCTGGACATTTTGTTTGTAGTGTTTTTATTGATTTACAAAAACCTTTTGATACCGTTGACCATAGTATTTTGATTTCTAAATTATGGAAATCGCAGTATTGTAAATAGTTTTGATCTTATCTTTCAGATTGAAAAACATTTTGTAAGTATTAATGTTTTCAATTCTAGTAATAAATCAGTTTTGTATGGTGTTCCTCAAGGTTCTGTTCTAGGTCCTCTATTATTTTTAATCTATGTTAACGACCTACTCTGTTCACTTCTCTTCAGTTCATCTATTTGTTGATGATGCAAATCTCTTGCACATCAACAATTCTTCTCATTCTTTATGTAAAAATGTTAATTTTGATCTAAAAGGTAGATTTCACTGGTTAAATGCAAATCTAATATGTCTCAACACTGAAAAAACTAAACTAATTTTTTTCTCTGACAAAAAACTATTTCTTTAAAAATGTTGAAATCAAAACCAAAACTAATAATAAATGGCTATATCCCTCAAGAGTTATTAAATATCTTGGTGTATTAATTGATTGCAATCCTTCATGGAACTTTTATGTTATTGAACTAAGCAAGAAACTATTTCATTATGTCAATAAAGTTACACTAAAAAACTAATAAAGTTACTTTTTTAATAATAAGTTAGTTTTTGAATGAGTCCAAAAAACTATATCCTAAAATACCTTTAATTCCATCTTAAACAATATCAATCTAAAAAAATTCTGAAAAACATTTTATTCTAACTTTTAGACATAGTATCCTTATGATTAAAATATTCTTTTAATTTTCTTTTCGTCATTACTACAATTATCATCAGTATTTTTGTTTATTTTTTTCTTTTTTTTACTATTAAAACCTGCAAAATATGATTTTTACATGTTTGTTTTAATGTACATTCTATGTGCTTTAATCTATGTGTTTATGGTCCATATGTTTCAATGTATGTCTTTGCTTATTATTACTTATATTATGTTTAAAAATTGGTGTCACTCCTTTGATCAGAATCCTGTATGAGTGATACCATCCTAAATAAATTATTAACTTTTTATTATAAATATAATGCTCATAACTACCATTAAAATATTAGTTATTATTATTATTTTTTAATTGTAATTATTGTAAACATACTTATTATTACTATTACTATAATTTGTGTTAATTTTTTTTTATCTTATATTATTATAATATTTTATTTTTATTACTATTATTATTGTTATTATTGTTATTATTATCAAAACTATTATAAAAATGACTTACGGAAAATTAAATAGCTTGGTGTTATTGTTGTATTTATAATGACAATACTAGCCATTCCCAGAGGATTTTACTCTTGTTAATATATAATTACCATAGTTGTATAGAGCTTAAAAAGGCTTGAAAAATGAAGGGTTTTTCAACTTTAGAAGTTAATTGGATCCAAATTTGTTGCATTTTTGTGCTGGAAAAACTAATAATTTTTGACGAAATGCCTTGTCCTTAAGTATGGAAAATTTGGCTTGAAATGGTACCAAAATAAAAAAATAAAATAAAAGAAACGATATGCAACCACTTCTTCAAGAAAACATAAATAAGTACTTGATTTGAATAGAGGAAAGGGTATACTTGCTTTTTTCACACGGAACCTTTTTAAAAAAAGTTTTGAAAAAAAATCAACCTTAACGTTTTTAAATGCTGAGAATGCTTAGATATTATAAATAAATGCCTAAAAGATTCCCCATTCCATTAGATTCTTTATCTTCTTTTTAATCTATATGGAGATTTTGAAGCAAGTTTGATGTGTTTTGGTACTTAGGAGATACTTACTTTCAAAAACTAATTCGAAAAAATGTGTCCGCAGCAATTTTATTTATCATTGGTGGTTAATATCTTTATACATTATTTCTACCTTTCCAATTGGAAAGGTTACAGCGGTAGAAATAATTTATAAAAGAGTGGTATAAAAAATATTTTTTACTTCCATTATTTCTACCACACTTACCTTTAAATAAGGTAAGAGTGGTAGAAATGATGGAAGTAAGAAATAACTTTAGCAGCAACAAAAGAGGTTGAAATATTTTTAACAACTTCAAACTTTAAAAAATTATTTGTTTTCATTTCTTAAATTTATAAGACAAGACAACAAAGATCTTACTAATAGTAACTAGATTAATTGGGCCATAGTTGCCCAAAATCTAGATATAGATGGTCAAAATCCTGTATTGTTTCTTAAGTGTTTTCTCATTGTTGCAATATAACATCTATTTTTTATAGATTACAAATTACCTATTTTCTATTATTATGGTCAATGCTTAATTTTTTCTTATTACAAAGTTGTTGTTTTTTTTTCATTCAAAAGTAGCACTTTTGAATGAAAATAAATGTCAATAAAAGAGATTAAAAATTTAAATTATATATATATATATATATATATATATATATATATATATATATATATATATATATATATATATATATATATGTATTTATATATATATATATTAATATATATATAAGATTTTATGGAATGATGAAAGATGAGAATTTAATATTTTAGAGAAGGTAAAGTTATTTTAAACCAAACAAAGCCATAAAATCTTTAATAATTATTTAAAATACATTACCAATTAAATCAACATCAATAGATCAGTGAATCCAAAACTTTTTTAGCAATAGGATCAGGGTTGGCAAAAACCCGGGTTTTTTTAAAAAAACCCGGCCCAGTGGGTTTTATTGGGTAAATTTGGGTTTTTTTGGGTATAATTTTTATTTTGTCTCTGTAAAAAAAATTTTTGTGTTTTTGTTTATTGATATTGAAAATTAGTTTTTTTCTACTTTAACTTTAAGATATATTTAATATATTGTTGTTTAATTATTTATAACAAGAATTTTTCAAATTATTTTGAAAAAGATTTTTAAATATAATTTAAAACTGTAATAGGAAAAAAAAATTTCTCGCTTAATCTATATGTATTGATTTATTTTAAATTTAAAAGTATTATTTTATATAATTAAAAATGTCAATGAGAAAATGTGAAAAAGAAGGCTTGAGAATGGGAGGTAGTAACTGAAGTTTCAATTAAACTTTGAACTTGAAATTCAAATGAACAAACTTGTTCCTCTGCGCAGCGGCCTTGTTTATAAAGATTCGTGTTTAGGAGTTAAAGAGTTTTTTTTCTTCTTTAAATCAATTCACCTCCTCAAAGCTTATGGTCACTACAGGCGAGGAGGCTACTTATTTGTGGTTATAACCCTCTCTCAACTCTATAACTCTGAAACATGAACTTTGACGAACAAGGCCGCTGCGCGGAGAAAGGAGTTGAGCGCGGTACTGCCAGGGGCGTGGTGGGGATCAAACTCGGAACCTCTCACTTATGAATTGAGCGCTCTACCACAACACCACTACCGCAAAAGAGTTGAGAGAGGGTTGTAACCACAACAAGGTAGCCTCTTCGACTGTTGTGTTGGCTTCTCTGGTCACTACTACTCATTTAAATTCAACTTGGGAGGTGAACAACATTATGTAATAAAAATCTCAATCAATAAAAATATTTGAATAAAAATTGTAATAATGTATTTCCAAATAATGATTCAAATAATAGTAAACCTGCTCTGATAGCTGTTATTGTTGGTTATAATAGTTAATAATAATAGTTAATAATAATTAAGTTAATAAAAATAGTTAATAATTATTTTAGTAAATAATATTATAGTTATAATGTTAAAGTTGGTTATAATAGTTCATAAACTTATTAAATATCTTTAAAAAAACCCAATAAAACCCAGATTTTCCAGGGTTTTTTTGGGTTTTATTGGGCGGGTTTTTTTATGCGGGTTTTTTAATGCCAACCCTGAATAGGATTATTTGCCACATATGTAAGGAATAGATTAGGCTACAATTCTTGTGATGCTTTGATTTTAATGGGTTTGAACAAAAACCTTAGAAATGTACTTTAAAGATAAAAGTTATAGAGTTTTTAAAGTTTTTGTTTTTTTATCTTTTATGTTTTATTTGTTTTTTATATTTGATAACGAAGCTCATTATTTGTGCTGCAATGTTGAGAAAAAGTAATCCAAATTTTGTCACGTTTTTTATTTAAAAATTTAATATTAAAATATGAAAATATAAAAGAAATTTTTAGTTGTTTTGTTGTTTATTTGAAAAGTCAAAATTTTTATTTACCTCTAAATATTAATTGATTTGCTTATGGGACAATTTTTTGGGCTCAGTTATAAAGGCAGATTAAAAGCTGAAATAGCCAGTATATTAGAATTTTGTTTTATTATAATTTTTTTTTTTTCAGAAAATTATCCAATTGTTATGCCTCAGTTTAAAGTTCATTTTGGAGAGGAAAAGTTTACAGAAGAAAAAATAATAGCATTTGCAAATGAACATGTTGGATCTCAAATGCTTTATGATCTCATTGTGTATTTTAAAGAGATTGTTGAAGAAGAAATCAAGAAGACACCAGTAATATCAAATAAAGCTAATGTATTATGTAGTTTTTTTTTAAAGGGTAGTTGTAAATTTGCAAATAAATGTCATAATTTGCATACTGAAAATAAAAAAGAAATAACTGAAAATAAAAAAGAAACAATTGAAAATAAAAAAGAACCAACTGAAAAATTAACATTCAAAAAATTTACTGATACAGAATCAGAAAAAGAGAAAAAAAAACCAATGAAAACAGCTATTAATGTTATCAATAGAATACTCTGGGATGAATCTCTTCCAGCTGAAAATTTTATAGTTGGATACATAGATCGCTTTACTGGTATTAAAGAAAAAAAATTCACTGATTTTTCATGGGAAGATATTGCTTCTGGTAATCTTTTTTTTTTAAACTGATTTAAACTAAGCCTTTGATGCGGTAGTGATGTAAACGTAGAGTGCTCACTTTGTAAGTGAGATGCTCCAAGTTTGATTCCTAAAATATCTCTGGTAGTACTATGCTCACCATGTTTCTCAGCAGTGTTTCTCAGCAGCGTCCTCAGCCACCTTGTTTCTTAGCAGTGTTTCTCAGCAGCGTCCTCAGCCACCTTGTTTCTCAGCAGCGTTCTCAGCCACCTTGTTTCTCATAGCAGCATTGTTTTTCATAGTTTTTTGAGTTTAAGGCTTGAGTGTTGTAAGTGCAATAAAAAAAGTAGCCTGGTAAAGAAATTAAAAAAAATTCACTATAGGATCTCATTAAATATCAATTTTTTTTAAAGCGAAGCAAATAGTTTTAAGTTCAAGTTAAAATTCCTATAATGTAAAAGTTATTTACTTTATATAAGTTATATCTTTTATAACAGATGTAAAAAACTTTTCTTTTTTTTTTAAATAGGGCTTTTTATTGTTCTGTAAGGTTTTTTTATGTTTATTATTTATTTTAATTGAATGTATACAATTAAAATTATATTTTTGAAATTATGTTAATTAAAAAGATATTTAATTGAAAGTATGCAAATCAATAAATTGATTATTTAATAATTTAAAACTATCATTACTGACGCATACAAATAACTAAAACTGTTGCATAGTGTCCTCCATAGACAAATTAAGTTACAGAAGTTTATGAAAAAAACCCAGTATTTTTCAAGGTTTTTATTTGTTTTCCAAGATTTTTTACACCTATGTTTTATACTAATTACACCTCTAGTGCAAAAAAATAATACTTGGTGAAAAAAATATTAGAAAAAATTTTTTTTAGGGTTAGGTCTAAGTTTCTTAAACATCAGACAAGTCCCTAATATTATCCACAAAAAAAAAAGGTTCTTCAAAAGTATATCTTGTTGGGTGTAAAAAGAAGCAAAGTTTTATAAAAATTTCTATAATAATTATTTTATAAAAAACATTAGGAAAAAAAAATGTTGAACACTAAAAAGATTGCATTGCAAAATTTTATTAAGAAATTCATTAAAACTATAAAATCTATCCCCCTTGCGACTTTTTACTTTCATATACTTTTGTATATACTTCTTAACTTAAACTATCAGTTTCTTATCAGTTATGTGAAACCAGTTTTTCTCCATGGAACCAGAATTTCAGAAAGAATACAACCATAATTGCACAAAAAATTATCTTCAATGCACGATAATTCAAAGGGGTACAAGAGGTATAAATACATGACTTTTATTCCCATTGATTTTGATGTAAATAATAAAAATCAACCTAAATGTTCTGTCTAAAGGAAGACAGGCAGTTAAATGTTTCATTATCATTTTTGAAAATCTTTCTCTCAGAAACAGATAATGCTGGATAATGTGCTTTTAGGGAAAGCTTGTTCCTCTACAAGGAACTGTTCTCTACAAGTAGTTTTTTTTTCCTTTTCCAGATTCTTGACTGAGGACATTCCTCATCACCCTTGTTGTCATTTTAAGCTTTACATAAAAAAGAGTTGCAATTAATAATGTTATACCACTTTAAAAAGCATTTCATGCTTTAAACCATAAATTTAGTAACTAAAATAGTTACTCAATTTATGGCTTAGAAATTCAGACAAACATCACTCTTAAACATTAGAATTTTTAAAAAAACGTAAGTTGTTGTGGGATTGTTATTCAGACAAACAAACAATTTGACATTATTAGAACGGAACGCAATATGAATTTATGTAAATATTTGTAAAATTCAAAGTTTGATTTAGTAATGATAAAAAACATTTTTACTTTTCAATTTGTTTATTGTGAGAAAACTATAATCTACAACAAAAAATATTCACAAATGTATACATAAATATATACCTAAATTTAGTAATTTATTGTAAAAAATATCTTGAAAGCTTTCAATAAAGTTTGACTGGTGAAAACAAACCGTGTGTGTCTATAAAAAAACTTGTCTATTTTGTTGTTCAAGTTTACGTTCCAGCATGGTTTGAAATTAAATAATGAGTCTCTATAATGACACGTTTGACTCTCTATAAGCTTTTTTTAACAATATTGTTGCAATACTGTCGACATTCGATATACTATAAAAGGTGTGGTAACAATATAACTTGCATTATATTGTCATTTAAAAAATATACACAAATCATAAAACTATATATATATAAATTATACAATAACAAATTTGCATTAATTATTTACAACTCAAATATGCATAAAGTAATGTGACAGCCAGCCAGTCTAACAGTGTCACAATGAGTGAAGTTGGTTGTCATACTTAAGATATTTTAAAATCAGAATTTTTTTAACTCAATCAAATAAAAATAAATAAAAACACTAATCCTAAATAGTTAAAGTTTGGCATTGGTTTCATTAAAAATATAGGAAATAATAAAAATAACAAAAACACAGAAAAAATTTATAAAATGTGACCCAATATTATAAAATTATAAAATGATTAATTCTGACCATCTCTACTTTTTCTAATTTTTACAAAAACATTTTTAAATTCATTGCTGCATTGAAAATTCTGATTTGTATTGAGCTTGTTTAATGTAATGATGCGATGGTATAATGTTGTACTAATTTCTTTTTGTGTTTAAGAGTTTAAATTATAAAATTAGTTTTGAAATTAATACTTATTTTTATTAATTTTTGTATTTTATTCAGTTGATGATTTTGTGTCTTTGGCTATTCCTAAACATCGAATTCAGTACTTTAAATATCGCACAGCAAAAATCTGGGATAAAACTGTACGTTTAGACAAAATATTTAATTCGACAGGTGATTAAAATTTTTATATTGTGACTTTTTTTTTTAATTGTTTTACATATAAAAAACATAATTTTTAATCTTAGCAAAAATTATAAATATATCATATATAAATTTTATATGTTAAATATATTTTGTATATTATATATAGATTATAAATGATATATATAATCATATATACACATATTTTTATTGTTAGTATGAACAAAGCATATTGTATATTTATTTCTATTCTTGAATTCATTGTTTTAAATTATATTTTATTGTTTAATTTCTAATTCATAAAGCGTTTTTCAAACAAGTAGTTTCTAATTTCTCTCTATTTCTCCCTCTATTTAACTTATAATCTCTACTTATTTATCTTAACTTATATTCTTATACTTATTTATCTTAACAATAAAACTTTAAAATGTTTTTAATAAGAATCAATTATGATAAGTTGTAATATGAAAAACTTTTTTTTTTTTATTCTATTTCCTCCACATGTATGTGTTGTGTGCAGCACTAGAAATAATTATTTAAAGGTTGCCGATTAACACTGATCGGATGAAATGATAGCAATTAAAAAGTAGGTGAAATAATAATTTTAGGAACGATCAAATTTTTTCTTAGTTTGTATCAAATTTTTATAAGTATAGCAATTTTTCTGTCACACTTTTTATGTTTGTGCTTGATAGCACTGCTTACAGTAGAGGAAATAGAATTAGCCTCACCATGTTCTAATCCAATATTTTGTAAATCTGTTAGCAAATTTGTGCGGTGCATATTTTGTATCTACACATATATAATTTTTGTTACAAACAATAACTTTTTAGATTATAATATAGCATAATTAAATTGCGGTACATTTGATAAAACCATAAAATGTATAATATTTGATATTTGCGCTAACAAATAGAGCTAGCATTATCAGTAATTATTTTCAGTTTACTTGCATATTTTGATCTAGTGATAAGCATTTGTGACTTAATTTTTTATTATTATTTGTAAGTTTAACAAAGGCTGTGAAATTAGTGCTTAAAAAGTTTTTAACATTAGGTTTTTAATACTTGAATTTAAAATGGGACGTGGTAAGCGTTTAACCTTTAAGCGTTTAAGCATACAAAGATACAGGCTTATCTAATCAGGAAATTGCAAAGAAAATTAAAAAATCTCTAAAAGTGGTTAACAATACCCCAAGATAAAAGTTAATTATGGAACTTCTTAGGGAAGTGGTGGCAAATGTAAAATTGACAATTGTACTAAACAAGCTATTTTACGTTGTGCTGCTGCTCAGCACATGACTGCATCTTGAATTCATGCTGATTTACAATTACCTGTAACTGTTTAACGTGTGAGAATAATCTTACATAAAGATCTAAACACAGTTTGGAAAAAGCTTAAATCAAAACCTACTGTTTGCCATGAAGAAGCTAGATTACAATTTCCAAAAGTACACTTTTCAACAAGATAATGCTGCTATCTATAATTCAAATCTTACAAAAGCTTGGTTTAGAGAAAAACTACCCCCATAATTGAATGGCCTGCATGCAGTCCAGAACTAAACCCAATTGAAATTCTATGGGAAACACTTTTTAGAATTTGAATCCACATTTGAGCTGAAAACTATATCAGAGAAGCTTGGAATGAAATATCTATAGAAACAATTCAAAATCTTATGATTAATATGTCAAGTCACATATTTGAAGTTATTTAAATTCAGGAAGCAATTCTAAATATTAAATAAGTGTAAAAACAAAATATTATCTTTGTTTTCTTGTATAAAATTAGCTAACATAAATGAAGCTAATTTTGTTTATTCCACAAATTAAACACTTTAAATTTTTTTTTTCATTTGTATTTAGTTAAACATACTAGTTTATAATTTTTTTTAGTTTTTTTAATTAGAATTTTTTTTAATTTAGTAATTTTTTAAATTTTTTTAGTTTTTTTAGTATAAGATAATAAGAAATAAAATTGATTTAATAATTTTTTACTGCCATTTTTGTTAAATTAGAACAAAAAACAAATGTGAAACTAATTTAAATATTTCCTCTGTATACTACAGAATTCCCACTAAGTTTAAAATTCCGAAACAATAAAAAAATCAAAATAAAAATTTATACGGGGCCTTGTTTAAAAGTATCACATAAATACAAACGAGCCTTTTAAGTAATTTTTATTTTAAATGTTAAGTTATAAAGGCACTTTAGCGAGCCTTAAAAAAAAAAAAGAATAATTTTTCTATACTTCTATAAGTCGGACAGTTGTTCGGTTTAAGTATAAAAAATATATATGATAAGGTGTCCGCCTTATCCTAACTTATCATAAAAATTATCAAATAAGAAATTAATTAAGTTGATCAAGTCAACTTTTGATTGGTCATTTGATTATGCTAAGTCATTCATTCAAAACGTTAAAAAAACTTTATTTTCTAATCACCTTAAGATATTTTTTAGTGCATTATTAGATTGTCATTAACTTCAAGGTTTTTGTTATGAATATGTTTTCTTCCATTTATGGTTATTTTTTTATATTTATATTACAAAATATGTTTGTTATATTTATAATATAAATATTTTTATTATATTTCTGATAATATGAATACGCTAATTTAATATTAGTTGAGTTACGTCATTTTCTAGGCTTTTCTATTTTAAAGTAGTTTCTAGGCTTTTCTATACGCGGGTTTTTTTTTTAATTTTATTTACTAACAACGCGTATAACGGGTTGCTTACTGCTAGTATAATATAAAATAAAACATTATAATTCAAATTAAACAACTGTTTGCAAAATTGTAAACAATTGTTTAGTAGAAACATTATTTAAAATTGACAAAAACACGCAAATTAGATCAAAGTATCAAGCTCATTCATTCAAAGTTTAATTCTTTCTCTCCTGTTTTTTTTTTTTTACTTTTACGGTTTCGGTTACAGAAAAAAAAAAAAAAAAAACGGTACAAGAAATATTAGGAACTTTCAAGAAAACATTAGCTTATTGAAACTTTATCGAAAGAATATTTATTTAAAAAACAAAGAAAATACTGAAAATAGTTTTGAACTATTTTTTATTTGATTCGTCTGATGATGAATCCAAATCAGTTAATGTTATTAAACCAGTTTTTTTCTCTCTTTTTGAGTAATTTTTTCTGATTGTGTTAGCCTTTGCACATTATCATTCGCCCATAACTTTATAGCAGGACTTAAATCAAATAAATTAGAATCTTTTCCTTGCAAACTTACTTGAATTAAATTTTGCAAAATTTTCTCTTTCAGAGAGTTGTGTGTGTCCGTTTTCACTTTATTCATTATTTAAAAAGGTGTTCAACTTTTGCATTAGATACAGGCAAAGTAAATAATAGTTCAACCTGAATTTATACTTTTTTCATCAAGCTGGAGAATATTTGGTGCCATAACTTGCAGTAACTGGTATTATGTAGTACTAAGTACTTTGCAGTGTAATTTACTAAGTTATGCCAAGTGTTTAAAATATAATTTATGCTTCTAGTAAAACCAGCATGTTGCAATGGTGTTTTGTAAAAGTCTTGAACCTTTTCTATTCCTTCATCCAAGAATGCATCCTTTTCAATACTTTGAAGGCAGCCTTCTGTATATAAAATTTTTGTACTATACATATCAGGGATATTATCACATGTTTCTAAACATTCTATTATTGAATTCGTTACTAACTTAATAAGAATAGACTTTGAATTGTTAAGTGCGACACCCTGGAAATAAAACTTTCCAGCCTTTTCAGTTACTTTTGCAAGGAGACATTTTATTGTTAGCAAATCGATAAATTTTGTCTTTTGAATACAATTTTTTTTTAGCTTGTTAAATAAACTCTAATGAAGCTAATACATTAATCTCATCTGAAAAGATTTTGACAACATTTTTGCTGTTGCTAAAATTTTAATAAACAATTCAATGTAAAGCGGTATTCTTGCATGAACCCACTTCTTGTGGTATCCTTTAAAAATATTAGCGGATCCATCACCCATTACTAAAATGGTAAAAAATATAACATAAATCAAGCAAAATAATACCGGATGCTTTCTTAGGTTGGTAACCATCAATGTTATATTCATCATCTTCTAAAATGGGTACTAGTTCACCGAGCTGCCTATCTTTTTAGATGAGTTTTTGTAAATGTAATGCATTCTTAAAATAATGCAATCAACATCATTAAATGATTCAGTCTTTCCTAACTTATCTTTTAATGATAACTCGAGATGATGTACTATACATCAACCAAATGTGTGTGAAGTTCAGCCATGAACAACATTTTAATACCTGATTTACCTCTTCTATTTACAGATGTGGCATCTGCACCAAATCCAACTAATTTGTTATTGCAATTTTTGATTTCTATATTCTCAAGTGATTCTTTTATCATGTTAAAAACGTTCCATATTCAACATCTGAAAGTGAAAGAAAGTCACATTCAACACATAATTCCAATTTTTCAGTTGGGATTGGATTAAAGGCACAACAAATATCGCCTCTTTTTCCATAACTGAAATGCTGTTAAAACCTTCAATTAAAATAGTGAAAAAGTTTCTTATACTCAGTTTTTTTTTAAGATTTTTTGATAAACTCAGTGCAATGTAGTCAATGAATGTTGTGCAAGTATTTGCATTTTTGTCAGCTTGACCAAAAACTTTGCCATGTTTCTCTTGTAATTGATTTATTTTTGGATATAGACTAAGCGACAGGTCTTTTTTCTCTATAAAGTAAGGAACATCGAATTTCTTTTTGGTTAAATCAAGATCTTTATTATGCAAGGTTTGAATACAGGATAAAATGTCTGTTAGCCGCATTTCCTGCTACAACTCATTTTGTTTTTCAATTTTATTGCACAAACACATACCTCTTGTTTTCATAAATATTCCAAAAGCTTTCTGGTGTAACATTCCACAATCATACATGCAGAATATCCTTCTGCATGTATGATTGTGGAACTGTGTTGCAATCAACTGCATCCTTTTCCACCACTCCATTCTGACGTGTACCCTTTTATAATCTGAATTTGAG